CCTTCACTTGTCTCTGACGAGTTGTTGTGTGGTGCTAAGAATGGCAATACTCACTGACGATGCCGGCGAAACGTTTGGAAATGTACCACGTCCGTGGTTCAACTTTGGAAATGATGATGGATATAATGGACTCCGGACTAGGTGCGTTCCTCTAAGTCCTCCTACCAATATAACCATGTTGCGAAAACAAGGTAAAACAGCCTCTATACGAGGAAAGGAGACTACGAACATACAAAAGGCCACACCATCTTGGTCTTCTTACCTTTAATAAATTAAAGTCGAAGATATGAAAGCAATGATGATGTGGTCTTTTGTATGGTCGCAGTCTTCTTTCATTGCATAGAAGTTGTTTGACCTTGTTTTCACAACTTGGTCATAGTGGCAGGAAGACCTGGAGAAACGCATCTTGTCCAGAGTCCATAGTATGCATGATCATTTCCAGCGTCGGATCGTGGACTTGGTACATTCCCAGACGTTTCGCCGGCATCGACAGTCTTAGAAACATACCACAACTCATCAAGAGACAAGTTAAGTCGATGCTTTGGCCAAATGTGTACCAAACAGTTAATGTATCTCTCATTCTGTCTTGGAGTATGAATCTATCCTATATCCTCATATCAACCCCTCAATATCAAAATTTCTTAGTTGTTTATCTAAACCTATTTGAAAGCTATTTACACTCCCTGCTAGTTTCCACATCCCTCCCACCATGTCGGGAGTGTTAATCCAAGGATGCGGTTTAATCCGCAATCCTCTCTCCGTAGAATCCTTCCCTTATCTGCCTATTTCACTGATTTCACTCCATCGCCTCCACCCATTTCTGATTTCGGTAATTTTTCGAGGGTACACGAAAGGAAAGTTTTATTGAACTATACATATTTCATGATGAGTTTTATCCAAAAAGAGACCTCCAAGGTAATTATTTTATTCTTGCCGCATTTTTTTTCCACAACCTCATAGGCCCAATATTAGTATTTTCTCCCTGAATTCTAGGTCGAGTCTTTGAAACAACCCTGTTGCTAAGACTTTCATACTTCCCTTAATTTTAAGCCCTATACACTTTAATCAACGATATGAAGACCGCGATGGTGGGACCCTCGGTATGGTCGTAGTCTCCTTTTGATGTATGGAAGTGGGTTGACCTCGTTTTCGCAACTTGGTTGCGTAACCGCTTTGGCAGAAAGTTTGATCAAGAGTTTGACTTCACTTGTCTGACTAGTTTTACCTTGTTGCTGAGAATAGCAAGACTCATTGATGATGCCGGCGAAGTGTCTGAAAATGTGCCTATTCCACGGTTTGACGCTGGGAATTATGATAGCTGCTATGACAGAGAACTTCGGACAAGGTGCTTCCAACTAAGTCGCCCTGACAACGCGACCAAGTTGTGAGAACGAGGTCAACCCACTTCTTGCACACTAGCCAGGCTTTTGATAATAACCTATTCATGTGAAAGTCAGCCAACTTCGCTTATCTCTGAAACATTATTATATCTGATGTATTCAGCCTATTTCGTTTAAGATGATGAAGGACTAGTAGTAAAATTTATTATTATTTCTTACACTTGATTTGGTTTGAGCTGGATTATTCCGTGGACTCTTCTAAGAGCGCACATTCTATTTCATACTTGTCGCTTTTGCGCATTGGAGATTACGATGTAGATTTTATCCTACTTACTTTCAGTGGCCTGACTCGGCGGCTTTTACAAAACTGGAAATGGCTAAGTTCACCCCACTTTTGTCTACTCATATCCCTCTTAGCATTTGCGCCGATAGCGCAGGCAATTTTCCGTTTAGATAATGTCATATCGAATCTACTCTATGACTTGGAGAAAGAATAGTGATTAACTAGTTGCCCAAACTCTTACCTTACATTCTACTCTTATTTGGTAATATTCACACTATATATTACATTGTTTAAAATATCCTTCTTAATCTGTTACCTTTGTTCAGGTTCAGTCTTCGCTTCGAACCGAGGACCGATACAACGACATTTTGGTGAGTGATTTCACACTCTTCCGGAGTAGCACCAGGTATTCATGGGCTACGGACTCTACTTTAAAACTGTACTCTACTAATTTCAGTTGGGAATTCTGCTACATTTCTATGGCATACCGCCTAAGTAACCTATTGGTCCAGGCGTATAGTAGACGTGTCTTCCTCTTGATTTCAGCCTATTACTTAAGGGGTTGGAGACTCACCCGATCATTATCATCACGATATATTTGCCGGACTCCAACTCCCTAAAAGCTTTATGTTCAAAAGGGTCAATCTTAAACATCGCTTACTTTAAAGAAGTAGGTTGATCTCGTTGTCACTTGGTCTTGTTGTCAGGGCGACTATGTAGAACGCACCTAGTCCGAAGTCATCTGCCATAGTAGTTGTCATGATTCCCAGCATCTGACAGTGGACTTGATACATTCTCAAAAGATTCGCCGGCATCGTAGTCGGCATCATCAGTGAGTGCTGCCATTCTCTACGAACTCGTCAGAGACAAGTGTTCTTCATATATTCAACCATTTGCTTTGTTGAAAATTTAGTCTTTACTTACCATTTCCATATCCCAGGGCTCATTAGTCACCTACATTGATGGTAGGCTAGCTGGATCGAATTGTGAGATGTCATAAAAGGAAAAGTTGCGTTTAGAGAAGTCTTTTGGTTTAAAATTGCTGAGCTCACTTCCATTTCGAGTGAAAGTGTGTGATGAAAACATTCGAAGGTTAATCCCACCATAAGATGGCAGCGGATTTCTCTTAAACATGTTACTTTAGTTTTTTTGAAAACTCTTGTATACACTGTTCCTGAAGGAATCATTCCCTTTCGATTACTGTAAAAACTCCCAAGCTTATACCTGCAGCTTGACAGAGGAAGGCTTAGCATGGGACAAGAATATCCCGGTGATGCTAAACGCCGTAGTCTTCTGGCAGGATCGACCTCTGAGTCTCTTCATAATACACCTTAACTTGAGATGAAGGTAAGCTCAACTATTAATTAGCATGGGCCAGTAACTATTTTTTAACCTGGGATTCTGTAGTATTTTGGAAATTATGCCGTATTGGAGTCTCCAGCATGCTCCCATGTGCTGTGTCATTTGAGAAACTCGGCTATATTGTTATTTTATGCATGATGATGCCCTATCGTGCATAAAGTGATTTGTTAATAGTCGTTTTCAGCAATCGCCTCCCATTCATTTTCTCATTGCCAGGCTAGTATTCAGGATCTCCTCGGCCGTCAAGCCTCTCTTTCTCAACCGCCTGACTCATCTTCTGCTTCGTCTCGAGGGCCTCCAGTGAGTCCCTTGGCCTGCCTTAATGGGCTGGAAGGGCGCAATGCTTCCTGTACTCCTGACATGCCCATAGGAAAGTTGAACGGTCCGAAACTTGCCGGTTCCTCTGGGCAAGCGTTGTCTCCACAACTTCGAAAGGCCTATTCAAGTCTCCCCATCATTGCAGCCAATACCTTTTCTCCTAATCCTCTGTCCATTCCATCTGCTCGTGTGCCACCCAAACCAGCCGACCCAGAGGTCAACGTCGGTCGTGTGGAAACCGCCATGGACAGTACAGATATCTCTCCTGTCGCCGGCTCCACGTTGCTATCGGCCGGATGTGGCGATTTGACGCATTTGTTTAACTCAATGTCAGTGCTCCTCCGCGACCAACTGGAGGCTCATCATCAATCCACAGAGGCGGAACAGACACGCAGTGCAGCAGATGCCGTGACAGTTGCCACGGTGGCAGTTGACTCGGCTACAGAACCGATTGGCGGCTGCGACGGGACTCGGATAGATATGACCAATGTAGGGCATATTCACGAAGGTGGAGCAGCAGTCATCCAGTCACAAAAGCCAACTCTAAAGGCCACCTCTCGGGGTCCTATGCCTTGGACTGGCCCGGCGTCTGTGAATGGCATCAACACAAATTCCAGACCAGCATCCAGAAAAGAAGCGCCCGTTATTACCGAGCCTAGGTATTTGAGTCAAATGTTGCTTGTTCTTCGGATTATCGTTAATTTTACGTTGCTTCCGATAGTCAAAAACTGAACAATCATTGAAGCATACAGGAGTTACAGTCCAGCAATCCCACCATTAGATTGTCAATTGGGAGAGGTTTAGCTCACCTCAAAAGTCGCATTTGCTCTATAACCTATGCGTACGCACACTCAACTGTAGCGGAGCCTTAACGTTGTCACTTGATGCTCATGACCTCTTCTTAAGTCCCAGTAAATTGTTGCTGGAGCCGTGAGGCGAGGTCAAAACTTCAGTCCAGCTAATAAAGAGCTGATGAGTTTTCATTGGTGTCCCACCTTCTACCCATTTCATCGTGGGAATTTCGACCACCAGTCCTGTCTCGTCATTCGTATATTTTCATATATTA